CTGGCGAAGACAGGACTCCAACTGAACATAGACAAGACAGAGGCTATGAAAATAACTAACCAACCAACAACAACAGCAGCAGCAACATCCAGCGCCAATCACCATCAACGGGAGGAATTTGAAAAAGGTTACTTCATTCACTTATCTAGGGAGCATTGTCTCAACTACGGGAAGTCAGAACGGACAAGGATGTCAAATCGAGAATGGGGAAGGCAAGAAACACACACATTCATCAACCTGAAATCAATCTGGAAATCTTCGTCACTCAGCATCAACAACTAAATTCGGTCGGATTTTCAATACAAACGTCAACTCAGTCAGTTCTTCTTTACGGATGAGAAACTTGGTGGGCGGGTCACAAAGAATATTTCCAACAGCCTGTTGCAGACCTTCATCAACCAAAAAATGTCTCCGCTCTATACTGAAGATCAGATGGCCAGAAAGAATCACCAACAAGAAACTATGGGAACAAACAAACGAAACAAGAACCAATCACCAAACCAACATATATGCACGAGAAAGTGGAGATGGATTGGACAGTCGTGGCTGAGGAGGCCGCTGGGTGACATTGCGTGTCAGGCCCTCGAGTGGAACCCGAAAGGGAAGTGGCGAGTGGGACGTCAGTGCAAGGGTGACATGGAGGAGATCGTGTGAAGAGGAGTTGAAACAGTATGGATTAAGATGGATGCAGGTGAAAAGTACAGCAGAAGGAAGACAGTAGCAAGTGGAGACGTGCAGTTGAAGCTCTATGTTCCACTAGGAACCAAGGGAACAACAATAATAATGTTCGTTTATTGTGCCTTTTTTTTCTTCTAATAATCTGTTGAATGTCTTAATTTGAATGATTTGTGTCACTTCTTTAAGGTTGTTTCTCCAGCTTTAATAGATGTTTCAATCACAATTTCATAAACTTTATCATTTAGGATACATTTGAGTTTGTGTTTGAGCTTTCCAATTTGATTTCGTATATTCTTTAGCTTTATAATAATCCGATATAGTTCTAATTTAAGACATGATTTGCTAATGTCTTTCACTCCTGATATAATTTTCTTTGAAGTAATTGGAGTGCATAGGTGTAACTGTATATGAATAATATCACTTTCTTAAACATCGATTGTTGAAAATTCGATGGTTTGTGAATCTTGCTTCTGTTTGACAAAGTCTTATGAGTTTGTTGATAAGCTTCGTATGGGGTAGACCATGTATATTATTGATATAAGTATAAAACTTAGTCACTGTGGTGGGAGAGTATAACTCCATTATGGATAAGATTTTATTTTGATAATTCACACAGTGTTGTACAGTTATATTAACTTTTTCAAAAAGTTGCGTCAGCGACTTGATATGATTATGCGTGGCAATAATTTGTGCTCGAAACGTCATGAACTAATATAACTGTACAACACTGTGTGATTTTTCAAACTAAAATCTCATCCATAATGAAGTCTAACAGTAATGTTGAGGTAATTTTGACTATTTGATCGTTTTATTGTCATCTTAAATTGTAACAACAGAAGACAAGGGCCAGGCAACAGATCGTTTATTAAGGAAATCAACACGTATTTATAGATTTTCATGTACATATTATAGATGATTGTTATCGGAAAAACACAGTCTTCTGATTGGTTGTTTCTCACAGAAGGTTAACCTTGCATTTATCTATATGTTAACTGTATCCGCCTACGCAAAGCCTTTCTTCTCATTTTTCTCACGACCAATATTGGGGACTTAAACATTGACGTAAATCACTGTCCACCAATTTTGACTAACAGCCAGCTCTCATCACAAAATAACTCTAGTTTTGGTGTCCTTAGAGCATTTTATCACTGTGAGTCTCTCGGCGACGTTTTCGGATAGTTATACAGCGGGACGCAAAGATCGGTTTGCTGCACTCAGACTATAACGAGTTGGTTTTGATTGTTACACATACAGTAACTTTTGGCTAAAGTACTTCATAGACTATAGTAAATCGGTAAACCTGCTTCATAATAATTAGCACAAGAATAAACAGTCGTAAGCTGAAGAGGGAAAGTAAGGATAAATCATCTGGAATATAGACTTGAGGTATAAGATATGCACAGAATCTAAGCTTTCATATCTTGGAGTAGAAAGAAGAGATTCAGCAAAGATATCTTTTTGGCGATTTCATTCACAGAAACTGTACAACCACACAGGCTCTCATACTTACATCTATTATCTAATGCAATATGATAAAGAAAAGAGATTAAAGACGATGAGAATTTTCAAAGTCACACGAAAGTTGTAAGGTGTGAATACAGATCATAAGGGGCACATAAAAATGAAAAATTACATAGGATTAGAAAATAGTCACGTAATATAATATTTGATAGTTTTTAAAGAAGATGACACGTGTGAATGGGAAGGGCATAGAAGTAAAATTGAAATAAATAAGGCACAACTAAGAAGATAAATAGGACTAGATCCAAGCGACTGTACAGTTAATTAGGATGAAATCACCTAAGAGGAATCCATTCTAACCTTATAGAGGTTTTCTCGATAATTTCCTGAGAGGTACTTTCGGTTTTAGTCACAGCTGAAAGAAGAACTGAACTTTTCAGCCTAGAAATATACATAAAATTACATCAATTCACGTTGCCACAGTTTTATAAACGTGCACATAAAGATAGAAGAAATGCCAAGAAAGTATGTGAATATGACCTTTCAGGATCATTACAATACTCAAGAGAATAATCAAGACTTAATGGATTTTGGAGATTAATAAGGGTGAATTTGTCTGCGTGTCTGCTAATGAGTTCTCAGTTATATCACCAACATTCTCACGCCACTGATCATTGGAGTCTCGAAGGCCTTAGCTATGCATTCTGCACTTAGTGAAGTGGATCAGACCTATAGTCGAAAGTTTCATAAACTGACCCCACATTTTGCTTTCCAAACTAATCTTATGTCAGATAGCATTGATCGATGAGGAGGAAGAAAATTCCTCGTGTGCGTAACACTTTTCCATGCTATCTCAATCGATGTAACTTCGCAACCTCATTGACTGAATTCCCCTCCTCGCATAACGCTTTAGAGTTAACCTCGTTATTATTGACAATATTGTACTACATGACATTAGAGATGGAATAAGTACACACATATGATCAAGTAATGCTGGCCTCTTCAGATGTTTTAGTTTTAAATGCAATGTCCCCTAAATGTAGAGAAGGACAGAGGGAACCACTGCATAATATCATTGTTATTTGTACTGAACGTCTTTAGGTGTTCTTTTACAGGGATCTGATTGGTTTCAAGTTAGATCATGGGCTAAAAAATCAGTTGGAGGACCATTGAGAAATAGCAGAATTTGAAATTCATGAGCCTGTAGTGTACATTGAACCTTTGAACTTTTGTTTCAACTCACTCACCCATCTTTTTGGCGCTACTCCGCTGAACTTCGCTTCCTGTACGTTTCGGTGCTTACACGTTTGCCCCTCGCTGTACTGTTTTACAAGCACACTCTTCGAGTTTGTTACTCCTCTGGGTACAGATAAGTTGTAAACCTTTTTTTTAAATAAATTCTAATCACATTCGTTATAAATATACTTGTGGTTACAGACACGTTGCGAATGCTTTTTATTTCTGCTTTTCACTCGTACCTCAGTACTTGCAGGATGGTCAGATTAAGACCTAGGTAAAAGAAGTTAGTCTTTTTGTTAGTGTGCACAGGCAAACTCGCCTAAGTTTAAAGTCCCACACCTACAAGCCATTCGATTCCGTCACAGTGACTAAATGGTCAGCGGGCTCGCTTCGCAACCTGAAGGTCCTGTGTTTGATCCCTGGCGAGGCCGCGGTTGTGGGTGTCTGAAGAGTCATGGACAAGGACAAAACGGCCGTACAGTGATTGCTGGCTTTAAGTGATTCTCTAAATGATGTCACCTTATGATTTGCCATGACATTATTACCATCATAACGCCTGTTGACTACAGTAGTATTATCGAAACGAAGGTGAGCATGAAATATCTTGACTTGATGCGACACAGGGGTTAATGAAAAAGTGCAGTAGTCGTAGTGGTAGAAGAGATGAGAATAAGTTTTTGTGAAATGAGGTGAATAGATAAATGCTTTAAACACTGATGAATGATTGAATAAAGATTTACATTTTGTGGAGAACACTTATTGATTAGAGATGTTTATTTCTATTGGTAGGAAAAAAAGTGATACAGACGTAATACAGTCCACACATGAACTTCCTATAACCACCCCTAGGAATCAGTTACTCATCTAACTACCTTTGAGATGGGTTTCTTGAATATGCAGTGAATGAAAAGACGTGACCGATGGATGTCTATCATATCGAGTGTCAGAATTCATGGCTGGTAAAATGCCGGAACTTTAACCTGAACAACCTTAGAAAAAAAATCTAGTGGTGTCATGTGTCAGTATTGTGGTAAACTACAACGAAAAAACTAAAAGAGTTGCTGGCATTTTGTGTTCTCAGAATATCACAAACTCTAACCGAACATTTTAGTTTTCTTCGAATGTAAACAAAAATGAATGACGAAAGCTGATGAATCAGTCATTTCAAAATTTTGTTAAATGAGATACTTATTTATTTCTTTGTTCTTCAGATTGCATGTCAAGAGTATTAATCAACTTTGCGGTTCGTTCAACCAGATTTTATGTCCACATAGTGTAGAAACAAGCAGGGCATTGTTATAGAGTCTATCAAGTCTAAACATTCAAGAGGTTATCGACCTGATAACTTCAGGAGAGTGAAACGAACAAAGAGGATCAATGTTCAATTCTCAAGAATGACTAATAGCATGCATGACGCTTGATTTCTTTCAATCAGTATTGGATAAATGCTATAAAATATTCATATTATTACGCTTTGTACTAAAAACTAATGCTAGTGATAGTTAAACACGTGAACATGATGTATCAATGTATAATTAACTGGAATAAGTAATGACAACTACAGAACACGAACCCATACGCAAACATGCACACACACACACACAAGAAAATATAATACTCACTTGTCCAATACCAATATGCGCTGTAGAATGATCAACTGTTGTCTCTGGTATTCCATCGAATGAATAATCAATACTTAGAGCTTCTTGACTTTCTAAATCATCACCATCACCAGAATAGTGTGCTTGTTCTTTACGCCGTTGACGTCGTTCACGCACTAAAAATAATCAGCAAATAGGTAAATTTTTATTGCTACCACTGAATATACCTTTTATTTCATATAAAGCAATGAGTGTGTGTTAAATTTATAATAAAAGAAATGGAATGAAAATGTACGCTAGTATATACTACTGACTGATTGATAAAATAAGTAGTTGGAAACAACTCACATCGACCAGTAGTGCTTGCTAACTAGATTAAAGTGAACTAAAAGGCCACACGGCGTTTCCCTCGTTTGAGACCAAGCTCATCGGCGGTGTATACCCAATCCGACTGACTTAGAGAGTTGAATATATTCAAACCATCTGAATTGAGGCTAACTACCAGGAAAAACTGCACTGAGTCAAACTGGTAATTTTTGAATAGGTTCGCAGTGATCTAGCAAGCACTAACAAGCATTACGGACTGATGTGATTGCTAATCGAGTACAGATCTCAGTCAGTCAGTACTATATACCCTCATGCGATTATGTTTGCTTTCTTAACTACCATCCTTAATATCAAGCAGATCACCTATTGCGTAGTTCGCAAATTGAGAATTTGATTCGCCAGAATGAGAAAAAGAAGCAGTCATTGGGATAAATATAACGAAAGCTGCTAATATGCAACAATAGACGCCTTCTCATTTGGGTTGGTCGAAACAGAGAAGTGACTTCATAACGATACCATCAGAGTAATCACATTTTTATTATTTATTCTATTCCTTTACTTTCCTAGGGGAACATATGGCTTCAAGTGAAGCTTTCAATTTTCATTAGCAGTGGTTTTATTTTTACGCAGTAGGGTTTTTAACCTAATGCCCAACCTTTCGTCTTTATCGCCTCATCGAGATTAAGGAGTCTGTCGGTCGAGGATCGAATCCCAGCCCACTTGAATGGTTGATGAGCATTCTACCACGGGATCACCGATGCGTCCAGTATTCACATACAGAATAATAGTGATAAGTTGTATGTGAGTTACCTATACTTATTAGTCTGAGGCTATTTCAGTGCGTCAATGGCACAGCGGTTGGTATGCTCGCCGACTAAGCACATGGGCCGGGGTTCGATCCCCCGCCGACACATTCCCAAACCTCTCTAAGCCAGTAATAAGACTGAAAAAGGAGGGGATGGTCGGGCATGAGGCTACCAACCCCATCCTGTAAAAATAAACGCCACTCCTACCGGAACTTCAAGCCCCGTGTTCCACTGGGAACGTGAAGGAATAAAAAAAAATTAGTCTGAGTTTATGGATCGCTTGAATTCGCCCATCATTTAAGGGTGAATTTAAACTTAAATTGTCTGCACTGAAACGAACTACAATTCTAACACCCTAACAGTGAAGACAGTTTCAACCAATGAGAGATAAGTAAGAAGAGAGAGTGGAAAATTTTTTTTCATTTTGTTTTGAAAGCAAAAATAACAGCAGGAAAAATAACAAACAAACAAATAAAAGTTTCATTTTTTTTGTCTCATTTAACTTAGAATATAATTTACATCGACTGGAAAAAACAAAAATTGAAATGCATTAAATAAAAAGTAATTTTATATACATATATTTTTATTCATAATGACACAAAAATATATTTTCAAAATAAATTGAAAAATAGGGAAACTTTTTTTCATTATATAACTGATATAAGTTGGTTAATTCTCTCTCTTGATTCCTTGCGATCCCAGTGGGACAGATAAGACTTCAAGCAACAGCTTTGAAGTTTTCCGTAGAGGTGATGTGTTGATTCTTAGATGGATTGGGTTGCTATCCTCACATCCACTTTCTGTCTTTTCCTGTGCCGAAAAACCAGTTCGGAGTCGAACCTAAACCTCTTGCGTGGTTGGCAAATATTCCACAATGGAACCACTGACAAAACCAGCACAATTTATTTTTCAATATTATCATTCCAGTGAAACATAGGCTTCAACATTACATGTTCATTTTATCCTGTTCCCTGAAATCCCCTTTAGCTGGCTACACAGTTTCCCATGAACTGACTGACCGGTTTCAAGATAGAACTTTGCACCGATGAGCAGCAGTTCGAGTCGCTACACTCCACGTAGCACACAAAGCAAGAGAAGAAAGTAAACGCAAATGTGAAACAGAGACAGCAAACAGAGATATGAGGCAAAAGAATAGTAATAATGAAGAACAATATAGTTTCATCGGGTATTATAAGTCACAAGGAGTGGATGCATCTGCGCTAGCCATTGAGAATGATATTCAGCCATATCACCAATTGTTTCCAGCCACTGGTGTTGATCAACCCGAGGACCCCAACCAGTCAGGAAGTCTACAGTTCCTGACGTGGCCGGCTTTAACTAACTGTTGTGAATTTCATTGACAGATTAGGCCATCTTTTGGTATGAACACCCCCTTTTGCTCTGTTCCAACCTAACCCTATATGTCAGCTAACATTGCCCATCGAGGAAGGCGATCGCTAGGCTAGGCAGGCATAAAACATATCCTTACCATCTTAGTCGATGTAACTTCACACCCTCGTCTATTGATTTCCCCTGCTAACCTAGCACTCGACACCCAATCTATCATCTCGTTACATAATCTCTATCATGTCACCTTAGGACCTACAACCAACTCATCGTTTCTCATTCCGGTTCAACTTGAGGGTCTATCTGGTGCATGATGTCACTCAATAGTCTCCTCATCGTGAAAACTCGGATCTTTTCCCCTACTTTAAGTGATTTCAGAGTAATGAAAGCCTGTCTTGCTCTCCTGGCTGACTTTAACGTCTTCATCTGCTGGCTAGGGATTGGCGCTTGTTGTTGTTGGTTAGGCATCTTCATCACCTCTATCTCCTCTACGTTCACTTGAAGTTCTATCTTCGCTGCTTATTCTGTCAACTTCTTGACTTTTGCCAATAAGCCTTTGGGTTTGTGTGATATTAGATATAAATAATTCGCCAAGTTCAGGTATACTAGATTTTTCTTGTCAGATCAAAGTATTTCTGTCTTATTGATCCCCACTGTCTATCGCATGACCCAGGCCACTACAACCGGTATAAAATTATGAGCCACACTAATTCTGTGGTAACTGGCGCTACACTATTGTCCAGACTAATGTAAACAGAGAGGGATTCGAACTCGGGAAACACTGGTTAAAAGCTGAATGAGTCAAATAAGCGTATATGTATATATTATAATCGCAAAACAGAATTTTATATAATATTTAGTTACATATATAACTCATTTGTCAGAAGATATTGACAATAGAGTTGATTAATAGATTCGTGACTTGTGTTATTTTGTTGCATTTTTATCATTTATTTCACAGCTAACTGGCAGTCAGGATCATAAGTGATCAAAACACATATTTTATAAACAAAACTGGGTGTAAAGAACAGAGGCAGAAAGAGAAGAGTATGATAAATACTGACTACAGAGGGAGGAAACTGTGAAAAAAAAAACAGAATCTCTTTAGTGATACTCTGTCACATTTAGCAGGATACTTTTGCAAAGTTTGTAACAAAATTTATGTGTATCTGTGTAACGATCAGTAGCCGAAGGTTGAAAAATAAAAAATGAAAAACTAGAACGCGGTTGTATTTGCACTAACGAATTCTGGGTTACTAACCCATCAATTTATCTACTGGGCTACGAAAACCAACCGATGGCGATATAATCACTTTTCAGGCAATCTCAGGTAATGATTATGTACAGTTTTATATGACAAAAAATATCAATTATTTAAAGTTTATTGACAATAAGTAAAAACCTATACCATAGCAGATAAAGTAGGCTTCGAACACAGTCTTGTAAGTGAAACTCTAAAACTATAAACTCTAATACACTATAGTTGTAGTTAGTGGTGTGTGTGTGTGTAGGTGTGTTGATGGCCTTTACTAAACTTTTATTTAGTCATCAACAGTTCAATATTAAACCATCTGGTCCACACCAACCGCCCACAAACCCAGCATTGAAAAATCCTTCTCTATCATCTACCGGGTAACAAATAAACTCCCGAAAATATCCAGGTACTGCATACCCCCAAACAGTAGAGGCTATCACAACTCGCATTAAATAACCGGTGCTTTGTAGGCAGAAGAAACAAGTCCAGTCACTACTACCGCCCTCGCCTTCAGAGGAGACTATAAATTCATGAATATGTATCGTTATTTTTCCTAAATTTTTTCTGATATTCAGTGTATCGTTATGTTGATGCTATCGAACTGTAATCCACTAATATCATTGACTGATTCGATGTTATTTAAACAAAATTAATGTTGTTAACAACACTTATTCACTCACTATTATGTATATAGGACTGTAGAACATGATGAAGAAGGTGTTATCGAGAAGAATATTCTTTATTCATTAAACATTCTTTTCAAAAGATTTTATTTTTATTCCTTTTCATTCTGAGTAGAATATGGACTTCAGGATTTAAACTTTAATTAGTGGTGTTGCTGTTTTTAACAGGAAAGAACTGTTAACCTCACGCCTAGCCTTCTATCTTTAGCGGACTTTGAAACCACTGAAAGAGGCTTACGAGTACACGTTGGTTGGCAACTGAACGTCGATACCTTCTGGCGAATATTCTACCACCGAAACCATCTACACTACATATATGTGCTATGAAACCAAACTTAATGTATCTCAGCTAATACTATTAATGACATGAATTCATTTAAAGGAAGGACATATAATAAACGTATTTCACATAAAGTTGTTCCACTATCTGAGAACACTTCAGTGTGAGGCAGATAATTATTTCCGTGATGAATAGCTATCACACGGTTATACCATCAATTAGAATGATTCATACATCATTTAAGAACACTTAAGTTTAGTTTTATGGATCGAATAGGACTGACTGGTTAGTTAAATCACCCTGAAATAACACCACAATGATGACCCACTTAGTTTTTAAACAGCACCGTGTTTGTGAAATATCGAAATTTACCAGAAAAAGTGACAACTACTTCAAAATTTACAATTTGCAAATTACATAGTTCGAGGTGAAAATTCAGCAATGTATGGTCAACTTGATACCGTAGTATGCGAATCAA